TCCTTCGATGCTCTCGTGTATGCGACAAATTTTTTAAACCAGATAAAAAGATTTTTTAAACCAGATGTCTCTTTGTCGATCCAGCCTTGTGAAGTTCGGACAAAAGTACTGTTCTCAGGAGCACCCACTGCGTATGCCTCTGGAATCGGTGCACTGCCAGGGTAAATGGACATGGGAGGCATCTGATCTCCTGAAGCTGATACACACATCTCCACTGTAACAAGTTGTCCCCTCTCTGCTGAAGCAAAAGTGCCCACTTACTTTTGGCCCTTCCTGGCGAGGATCTTTGGAAGTGATTTCGGTACGGTCATCATACCGACTTCGTCGACGTTCCAAACTCTGTCGGCAGACAAATTGTATTCATCGAAAATCTCTAGGTACAATTCAAAGAATTCATCCACAGCCTCTCGCGTGAAGCGATGTGCATGGTCAGCAGATGCTGCTTGTGGTTTGCGAAGTGACAGCAATCGACCCCTTTTTACAAATCCCTGGAGCCAGTCTGGACCTGCACGCTTCTTACGACGATTGAAACGATGTTTAATTTTATTTTTCTCTGCCAATTCAAAGGCCAGTGACCTCATCTCAATCGCCGTGAGCCCATAAAGTCTGCTCTGTATGAACAACAGGTAACTCGTCGATTCCTTCTCCTGTGCTTTAGAGAAAAAGGACCTGAAGCGTCCCAATCCTGAGAAGGAAAACCACGAGATATTAATATTAGGAGAGTCAATAACAAATGTGGGAATAGGAAAATGATAAACAAAGCAAAAAATGCGGGGATGCGTCCATACTCGTAACTTGGAGTAGGGAAATGTGAGATGAAAGGGGTCTTTTTGACTTTTCTGTGAATAAAGAAAAACTATTAGATTCCTATTGAACTTTCTGTTTGTTTTTGGCCGATGGCATTGAAAATTTTTGGCTTATCTGCGCGTTTCATTCTTCAATGGAAATGATCAATGGAAAATATTTTTTTAAATGGAGAATTTTTTGAAACTATATTGTAGGGGAGGGTAGGGCAAAATGGCCCAGTGTGAGCAAAATGGCCCACCTCATATTTTTTTTAAAACGCAAAAATAAAGAATATGGAAAGAAATGTTAAATAACTCCAAAA